GGGTTCACAATTTAGAGGAAGAAGAGAGCCTCTCGTTAGCACACCCCATACAGATGGCAGAGAAGATGCAATATAGCCCGTTCTAAGAGGTGCCACAGTCAATGGGTGGTGAAAGTACTCAGCATCTTCCAGGAGCTAATTCAGCGTCTCCCTGGGTCAAGGAATACTCCCTTTTTTCCTTAGGGGCCTCCATACCTTTTGTTTCTAACAAAATGAAACTGCAGCTACACACATTGATTTTTCTCTAGTTGCTAGGCAGGCAGAAACTTTCAAACATGAATTTTTCTGCATCAGATCAGATGGCCGCGATGCTGTCACTAACAAGTGAGCAACGTCCTGTGAATATTTATTAAAAATTCACTGTGGCCTTAATATGCTTCAACAAATTTTGCTCTTTTCCTCATAAAGTAAGCTTCCATTTAAGCAATAGGTTCCCCTGCTACTTCAATTTGCTGGAAAGCCTATAATGTTAAACTCATCAAAGTATGGCAGCTTTGGTTTTTATGCAAATTCCTGTCATCATAGTTATATAAGTGCTTATGCACTGAAAATATACATAATACACAAACCTGCCGGTGTCACTGAGAATTATTTACAAGAGCTATAAAACAAAGCTGCATCCTGTTTTGGTTTATATTTAAGGGCCTACTGCAACATAAAATGTCACATATGCCCAAAATTTTCTTTCAGTCACTTCCCCCCCCAAAAAACCCAGAACTGAACTGCCTGCTGAAGGCTATTCTTTAGTCAGAGTCCATGCAAAATTGTATTAGAAGCTTTGAAGTTAAACCATGAACACTGACTACCAGAGAAGGCCCTACAGACAAAGACATTTACTAGATGTAAATGTTCAGTGAAGACAAAGGTCACCTTACACTTACCCAAAATCTGACCATGTTGGAAACTCCACATCCTGTCTCAAGCTTTACTTAAGAGCTAAAATCTTTCCACAGAAGGAATCAGCAATGAAATATTATTAACCCTGGTGATTGATTACGTTGTAATGGCTGAGTTGTGATAACCTCACAGGCCATGGGACTGCAGAACCTCTGCTGTTAGGACAGAGGAATCTGGTTCATCCCAACACCAGAGCAGATGGGGCATGAGCAGAAGAGCTTCCTGGCAAGGCAAGCCTCCAGTTTGCAGGAAATGGGATTTTATCTGAATTGGTGGCTTTGGTCCAAATCAAGCAGGAAACAAACTCTTCTGAAAATGCCTGCAAACTGGAAATTCCCAGAAAGGTCACTTCAGAAACATCAAAACACTTCCAAAACACAGTTCCCATGTTCCCAAGCCTGCGGCTGATCAGTGACATAGTCTCTGGCGATAGCAGCAGCATCTGCGAACGCCAGCTCCACGCAAGAGCTATGGGTGCTCCCAAGACTCTCTGGCTCTGGTGTAGCCTTGATGCTGAGGACTGCCCCGGGAAGCCTGCCCAAAGTCACAACTCCACGTCAGGGGCTGCAGGAGCTCTGGCAGTCCTGCTTCAGCCAAGCCTCTTAGCACTTCCAGACATGGAAATCAAAGTGGAGCTCAAGCTCCCAGGATTTTCTTGCTTTTAGCTTTACAGCAGGTTGGAAGTGGTAGCCCAAGCCCACCGGCTGGAGTTGCAAGCCCCCAAGCCCTGGGCAGTCCTCAGTGCCATTGGACAGACTACTCCAAGACAGAGGGGGCTGCGTTTTCTGGGCTGACCTGCCAAAAAGTGCTCCAGGAACCAGGGGAGCTCAATTTGGCAAGAACTCACTGAATGGGATAACTTCAGTCAAAACATTTCAGGCCCAGCAGATGTGCTATTTCCAGCTAGACTTTGTTTTACCAATAAATGTCTAACAAGCATGGAATAGCAATATAAAAACCGAAGGCCTTACTCTCCATTGCTTACCTTTATAGAGAGTCATTTGTATTTATAAAAACTCAGTACAAAAGAACACTTATTCATGTCGACTTTAAGATCTTGAGACAAGTGGCTGATACTATTATTTATGGATAACAAGAATTGAGCAGCAATACCTTCAGTTACTCTGCGTGCCCTGGCTGTTCCCTCCCACCTCTATACCACAAGGTACCTCCTCAGATCTCTTGGCAACTGTTCATAGGGTTGAGATGAAAAATCTTCGAGCTTTTAGAATTAGCTAGAGTTTTTTGTTTTCTGTAGAAAGGTAAATCATGCACTGAGAACAAGGCAAAGCAAAGACAAAGCGTGACCTCTGTATTTGCACATCTGCTTCAGTTCACACTCCAAGTGAGATTTGTTATTAAAAACTTCAGGTAACTGATATGCATTTTGAAGAATGTGAAAGAACACCACCACTTCCCAGGAACCACAGCAGGACAGTGTGACACTTGCTTTTGGTTCTGCAGTGATGATTAAGGACTTCAGAGGAGGATCAGTTGTCTTCTGAATCTCAAGTACATGATCTTGAGGTTCCCTTAGTTATTTCTGACTCCTTTTAACAGAGAAGGTTTAAATAAAGTTTTTCCTGTGTAAACCAACCCTTATTTTTCTTGTTGAAGATGTTACTTACTTGGATCATAGAAGCGTATGGTAATGCAATGCAACAATTACTTTCTCTTCTGCAGTTTACACTGAAATGGTCATATGAAGGAAAAAAAAAGAATGCCTTACTACAGGTGTCTTAGCGGATGGCGGTGGTGTATGTGTCAGCTGGTCTGCTTTGTGTATCTTGAGCTAGGTTTTTCTCCAGACTCTTTTATTCAGCAGCTTAACTGGTCTGACTACCCTGGTTCACAACACTACCTTTGAAATCTGGTCCCTACATTAGTAAGCTAGGCTTCATCACCCAAAGAGTTAGAAATTGAACCTAAGTTAGCATATATCTTTTTGCCCCACTGGATTAGCTGTTCTGGCCCAAAGTGATTTGAAATGCAAGATCCCTTTCAAAGTACTGCCAACTGAAAGTTCTGTTCTATTAGTAGATCCCAACCAATTAATTATATCATCAGCACCAAGAAAAGAAACTTTAGAGCAGCAACTCTACAATTTACAATCCAGGATTATAAACTACTCTCCATGCAAACATTTCATTGATAGAACTCTGGGAACAGGGACATCATCTCCCTTGGTACATTAAAAAAAAAAAAAAAAAGAGTGTGACTCCAAACATGTATTTTGAAAATACCAAAGAACTATGACATTTTTGCTCTGCCAGAAAAATGATCACATCTTGATTGAACACTTTACTTTCTCACTTCCTTTTCCAAGCTGAAATGTCAACTATTTTAAGGAAAATCAGAATATTACTCAACCACAAATCAGAAAAGAACCTTGATGCCAGAGCTGTCATCAAAAAGGCACAATCCAGTTATATATTTGCAGTTTTACTATTAAGAAAACAGTGATTAAACCCTTCCAAATGCTTTGCTGCTTAATGACACAATCACTAGCATGTTATTAAAGCTCAGCGCTCCGGCATTCCAGTCATTACATCTGTAAACACTAAAACATTATGCAATGAGAAAACAATCTTTTTATTGAAACCAAGGCTGTCTAATTGTGATGGGTGAATGTTTTATCTACAGAGATGAAATCCATATACATACTATTTTTATGCAGTCTTCATGTTCCATTTACACAATTCCCTAGTTTATAAGGGTTTAACAGTCAATCAAGTGTTCAAGTATGAAACTCCATAACAGAAGAAAATTGTGCCATGTTACTGAAGTCAGCTAGATAAACAATGCCTTCTGATTCTAATGATATCATTATGTGCTTCACCATGAGCAGTAAGACAGAAAACATTCACCTGGTTGCCTGTTCAGAATACTTGCTGAGATTCATGTATAAATGGATGAATGAACAGAAGGATAATTGTGTATTATTTTAACATAATAAAGTCAAAAGTATTCAAATCGCTAAGGAAAAAAGTGTTTCTTTATATCTTGTGTGGAGTTCTGCCTTAGTGAGTTTGTGTTTGTTTATGATTCTGACAAGCTACAAAAAACCAGATATAAATACAGAGTCAACACTAAATGTGTATCTCCTATTCTTTCGCAAGCAAACTGTCACAATATTATGCTCATTAAAAAGCTTCTGAAAACTAATAGCTAAGTGAAACACTAGACTTAATGATTTGAAATAAATATCTCACAACAGAGCTGTTTAAGCCACTGTAAAAACAAACCTCTTAAACAGCAGAAGCACATACAGAGAACCTGTGTTCACTGAAATCACTTGCAGTCTTGCCACCGACTTCAGCGGGAACTAGATCAACATAAAAACTTGTGCTACTTTTATATTTCCTGTTGGATTGAATCTTCCTTTATTTTCTTGCTATACCCAGCCAAAGATGGACTCCTCCTAAGGAAAAAAAGGTGAAAAAGTGGTGCATTCCCTTTAATATAAAGAAGTCATATATAAAGTGTGACAAATAAAGATTCTTCAGATTCTTCAGATTTTACTTTGCACCATCACAGAAGGATTTAGCTCAATAAAAAGGCAAAAATCCACCTCCCAGCCTTGGCAACACACACAGCCCTTCCTGCAGAGGACAGAGCTGTTCTGCTTCCCAAACACGACTGAAATCTTGAAAAATATTTGAGCCCAAGATCAGTAATACTGAACGATACGACAGGTACTTATTAATAACATTAAACAATATCAGTGTGTCTTTTTAATATGATTATTTTGTTTATTTTAGCATTTAAGCCTGCTTGGCAATTAATGGACTATATACATACCCTGTCCAGGTAGGATGCCTCATTCTGTGAGCTTTGGTTCGTATCATTGCCTGTGGGAGAACATTATGTGGAGGCACATCGTCATTTTCAGTCACACTGAATCTAATCTTAATTGCAGCATTCCAAGGATTAAATAGGTAGCATTAGAATTCAAGTAGATTTTTGTTCTCTCAAGAAAACTATTTATAGAGGCAATAAAATGCAGCTTTTAGCTTTATTAATCTAGTAAAAAAAAAAAGATAAAAATGAACCCAGCTTATTCAGATTTGTTGATCCATATCTAAATGTCTGCTAGAATTATTCCATTTGCTTCTTGTTTAATGAAAAAATCAGATAAGTAGGAGACTTCTCTCCTTGATTTCATGTGCAAAATCTGCTAATTAGAAAGAAGGTATTAGAATTGATGGGTTTCACCTAAATAGAGCTTAATAGTAGATTCTCAATTAAAGCTCCTGAAAAATGAGGTACAATTACAACTAAGGATGGGGGGTGGGGGGGGGGGGGAGGGGGGGGGGGCAGGGTTGGGTTGGTGGTTTTGGTTTTGTTTTATTTCTTAAAAAAGCAGCACATTGGCTATCCATAACAAACCGAAAAGCAGATTAGCAGCCATTATGCTGTGATGGTAAATCCACCTCAGGGATCTTTTGTATCAGCAGAATTCTTGGCTTTTTTACAATAACTTGAAATTTTGGAGGCAATCACATATTAAAGTGTTTCCCCTGTCTCTTGTTTTCCTTTTTCTTAAAAGTGAGCAAACGAAAATCCTGGAAGACTTACTTCCTACATGAACATTAATAGTGTGTACAAACGTCTGCAATGACCTAAGCTGCAGGAGAAAGTACGCGGATGCTGCTAGATCACAACCTTTCGATTAGGTAGAGAAGCACGGTGTTACAATGGCTTCTGCAACAAGCGTTACCAAGGAAAACGTCCTGTGAAAGACACGCACCCCCTTCACCAAGCCTCCCCTGGAACCCATGGAATTCTTACATTTCACAAGTGCTCACTTATGCAGGCATGAGTCAGAAATAGTGTTACAGTTGCAAATAATTACTTTCATTACTGTAAACAAATGAGCAGTAATATGGATGAACTATGCACCATATAGACAAGCAGACAGCATTTTAATTGATGACAAGAGAATAAGGATTATCAGAGCCAGGAAACGGTTTCCGTATGAGGAGAGATTTAGTAAACTAGAACTTCTCAACTTGAGAGAGAGAGAACTAAATGGAAATATGAGAGAGGCCAATGGAATCATGATTGGTATAAAGAACACGAATAGCACATAATTAATACCCAGCATCTCCTAATAACTGAATTATTCAGGAATTGGCTTTAAAGCAAACAGAAGTGCTTTTCCACATAATGCAGAATATTTGAAGAATAATTGCAGAATATGCTGTTGCAGCGTATTGTGGAATTTCTTCTACTGTTCCAGTAACATCCGCTGTAGGTCACAGGGGACATCCATTGGGGTGGCCAGATTTCTGGTTTGAACAAAAATTGCACTTCTTTTGTTCTCATGAAGAAAATTTTTGAGGGAGCATTTTCCTGTTGTGTGTGGAAATCTAATCAGTATGCAGTATACAACGTTTTACAAAAATAAGATACTGGCAGCAATGGCCATACATTTTGGTATATACCCTAACATGCCTACGTGTGGAAAACTTCCATCAACGCAAATGCAAGTTGGGCAGAGGTGCTGCGGATGAATATGCCTTTTTTTAACTTGCCCGGTAACTCTTCATGGATTAGTATATTTTTTTTCCTAAAAATTCATCAGACTGTGAGGCCAGAAATTCTAATTACATTGGTAGGCATACACTGTATTATCTTAAATTGTGCAGCAACTACAATGTCTCTAATTGAAGTTGTCTCAATGCAGCGCACCAGTTTTAATTCCCAAGACGTTTTCCAGTAATGAAATAGCTGTATGCAGGGCACAGTGTGAGAACATGTTCGATGGTTATGTTAAATTGTGCTACAGCTACCTTTGGGGAGCATCTAATTTATTTATTGTCTGTATGAAACCAACCACTATTTTCCTATGTGAAAAAATAAATTGTTATTCATACAAGTACTGCCTTAGACCGTGAGTAGTTTAATTACATATTTCACATGTTCAGAAAAACCTGCAGATATTTTATGTTCATGTCTTTAGACTGCAGCAAACACTTCTGCCATCCTTCCTCCAAATTAATATATATAATACCCTCAGTGAAACACAAGGGTTTTTCAAATATGGCTAGAGGTGTCTAAAGTATGCAGTGAATTCCATAATTTGTGAGTTGTAAAGCCTACTACCCAAACCAAACAGGTGAACAGACCTTAAACTTAGGGATATTAAGTCTAAGCACTTGCATTAATAATTTATTTTCTCTAGTAAAATAAAACATTATCAGTTCATTGCCTACCTTCTCCATTAAACTGACTGCAAGTCAAGAGTCGACTTCTGAACTTTTCATTTTCTTCAAGCATTTTTGAATTTACTTTCCAGACCTTAAGCCAGACTTTGGACTGAAAGATAAAATTGAACTTTCTCAGTGAAGCATATAAAAAGTTTGCATTAAGACATTTATAGGGCAGAACTTTGAATTCTCAAGCATGACTATGAAGTCCAACTGGGTTTTTTTTTGAAGATTGGGAAGGGGGAGATGTGGAGGAGGGATATATATGTGGGATATACTGGAAGAATCACATCTATTTAAAAGTCAAAAGCCATAAATTACTCCATGAGTTTCCATGCAAGATACTCTCTTCCTTTCTCGCCTAGAACTCTAGTTTACCCAGGACTTGTGAAGTGCCCTTCTAGATAAGAAGCGCTTATGAAAACGTGTGTAGAGCAATTAAACTCTCTTCAAAGTCATCCAAAATGGAGGGGAAAATAAGATTGCTTGTTTTTCCAGGAGCAAAAACATTCCCATGTGATCCCTTAACAGCAGCATAATTCAGACCCCATGTTCAGGTTCTAGAATAGCAACAGCCTTGCCTTTTTCATATCAAATCCAGATGAATCTGTTTTATAGATGTTGATGACCTTTATTTTAGAGGCATAAAGCTCCATCTGTAGTGGGCACATTTCAACCTTGTGTATTGAAAATATTAAATTGGAACCGTTGACAAAGGCATTCCGACAGAGGCAGCCTAACAAACATAAATGGCTGTTAACACCCTAACGTTATGACTTTTGCTGGACCCCATCTGTGAAACTAGCTTAAATGTAAAGGTAATTCTTTTCTCATGGGCATTTATTGCTAAAACATAATACATATTCCTCATTCTTTTGGAAGACTATTTAAAGCACTAGGAGGGTGATATTACTGTATGTTAGTGGCTGTTCCTCTGAAGTCAGTAGTATTTTGCTGGTTTTAAATCAAGTATCTGTGATATTACTATATTATAGTCTAGCTGATTACTTGTACTTCACACATTACAAAAGATCGTAATGAGTTACTGTTCTAATAAACATGCCTTTTAAAATCTCAAGCATTTGTTGAACTACTGAACAGGAACAGGAATACATTTGTGAAACAAAAAGTAATTTCGTATTACTACTAGTATAGCATTAATACCTCTGATTCCTGCCTTCACTTAGTTGTAAGCTCGGGGATTTCTTTGCTTAAAACAGAAGAGGAAGGGGAGCTGCAGAGCTTTTCCCTGCCGGGTTTCACCCAGCAAGGTGTGCAGCACCCTGGCCCCAATCCAGCAAAGCATTTCAGCACAGGCTTTAAGTCACCAGCATACTCTCATTTTTCAAGGTGAGCACACACTTAAGTGCTTTATTGAATGAGAGCCAGAATTTTAAACCATCCAGAGAGGGAAAATAATACCATTTTTCATTTCTGTAAGTAAAGTTTTCAGTAACAGACTACCAACTCAATCTTTTAATCTCCCTCATGCTCTCACACAGACATATACAGAACAGGCAGGAAGTGATTTTCTCAAATACAAAGGCAGCTAATTCAGCTCCCACACTTTATACCTTTTGCTTCTTTCGTTTAATTGCTTTATCAACATTTCTTGAAGGGAGGGGAAAGGCAAAGGTGTCAGCCTTATCTTCTCGAAGGTCACCTAGGAAGAGAGTTTAGAAAGCATATTCTAAGCATTTACATATATTTCAGAGGAAGCTGTAGATTCCCCATCTTCCAGCAGGATACTTATTTCTTGTCCCAGCAGGTTACAGGATATCAGCCCTCACATTGTGCTGTATTCTTACTTATTTTCTCTGTTATAACCATGGCGCAAGTGAGTGTCTCACAAACTCCACAAAACTACTTTCAAAACTGTACAGCAACCAAAAATGAAGCCAACAGGTTTCTGGGTGATACAGCTAGCTTTCAATTCACTCTTTTTCCCCCTGCTATGGCAGCTACTAGATTTCTACCTGAGCTCAGAGAGGAAATGATGTATTCTTACTTATTTTCTCTGTTATAACCATGGCGCAAGTGAGTGTCTCACAAACTCCACAAAACTACTTTCAAAACTGTACAGCAACCAAAAATGAAGCCAACAGGTTTCTGGGTGATACAGCTAGCTTTCAATTCACTCTTTTTCCCCCTGCTATGGCAGCTACTAGAATTCTACCTGAGCTCAGAGAGGAAATGGTGAGTGAACTGAGGCAAGAACCCAGACAAATCACCTCTGCTAGCACTAAAAAAACAAGAAGCAAGAAGGGCAGGTTGATCTTGTGGACTCAAGACACACAGAGCTGCAAGAAGGAAGGACTCAGGTGAGTTCCCATGGACGGTGGCTTTCTGAGGAGCTGCTGGACAGGCAGGGCATGGCATGGGCTGAGCAAAAGGGTGATCCATGTGGAGATGCTGAATGCAGCCACAGCCGTGCGCTTGTCCCCTGCTGCAGCAGGGCTTCAGGCAAACCAGCATCCCCCAGGCCACCGCAGCCCCACCACCAGACACCCCAGGCAGCCACATCGATATACCAACAGCCACAGGCTGCCTCTGAGCCACAGGTTGGCATCACTTAGCTAATAACTTAGCAGAACTGGTGGATTTAATTACAGGCTAATGTAACATTTCACTTTGTCATCCTTAGAGAAATGGCTTTTAGAAGGAGGGGAAAAAAATACAAAACCCCAAGCACGCCTCAAGAGCAACAAGTTAGTAAAATTCCGGACCACGCTATCTGTGAAACCCATCATTTCCAGCTCACACCCCAGCCTCTTCTCCAGAAGCAAGGTCACGTTCTCCATTTTCACTCCATTTCATCCTGTGCAGCAGAGCTATATTTCATAACAGATCGCAACCAGTGGAAAACTGCCTAATCTTTTTTGCTTGCTTCTTTTTAAAAAAGGCACCCACACCCATGCCCATCCTAACTTGCTTTGGTCCCAGCCACAAAGAAAAATTAAGAAACGTCTTTGGGCTGTCAGAGCAACAAGGAAGCCAGCGGCACAGTGGCTCCTGCTTCGGCGGGAATCTCCTGAGAAGAGGCGGAAAGGACCCAGCAGTTGGGTGTGTAACCCAGCAGCCCTGTCGGACACAGCTTGCTTTTGCCCTTACTGCTATCACAGAAAGGGACGGGGAAGCCTGCACCACAGGCAGCCGCCTCACCTGACAGGGTGGAGACACAGTAACTCAACCGGGTAAAAGTTTGGGGTAAAAATATTACATTTTTCACCCATGAAAGTTTAATACCATGTTCCACCTCCTGCCTAAATACCCAGTCTGGCTGTACCAGGCACATTAACAAAATGACGGTGCTGTGTTCCCCTCTCAGCGTGCACAGTCTGACTGCAAGGGATGACCCGGGCGGGACAGTATCGACAACGCACCTCAGGGAAATGGTTTCCCACCGGAGGACAACATGGC